GATTGGGGTGCGGCGAACTGTTCTCTCAACGGACAAACTCCCTTGGCATGCTTATCTCTCTATTTGGCCGATTTCTACTCTTTCCAGCCGCCTCCCCAAGCCTGGTAGAGGCTAGAAGGTATTATAGGTTATACAAAATGGCAGTAGACTAAAACTGAACGTTGTAGCAAGGACTCATTTGATTTAGCGAATATTACTATCCTTAATTTGAAGTGCTGTGATATTTTCCGGTAGCAAGTCATTATTTATTTCAATGACATAAACTAGTTACAACATAGGTAGATCCATAGTTTCCATGCATGTAGTACTACTAGTAGTATTTGGCTGTCTCGACCAACGTGGCTATTCACGCGAGAATTGACGAGACCGTCGTTTCGCCTTTTGACGTATACTATATCATACTTTGGAGGAGAACAAGCAAGAGCAATTGAACACAACAGCTAGCGTTGTCCCTTCTATCTTTTCATGTAACGATACACAGTACCTTATCATGACAGGACACCCAGGACACCAGTCTGTGTCTCTCGTTATGAGTGAATGAAAAATTGGCAGAATCGTCTCTAGCCATAAAAGGATATCAATACATATTTGGTGTCATATGTGGTACTCAAAAACTCTATTGTGTCATATGTGGTACTCAAAAACTATATAAACTGTTCGCTTGTTTCTGAATGAGGGAGTTATATTCTTGCATTGTAGGGGTCTGATTAACAACAGCACGTCATATACTTGGCCAAGGTATTTCACGAGCAATTCACCTGCGTCATTATCGTCAATTCATATTCCTAATGCGAATTGACAAACCTTCCATCGAAAAAACATATCTGTTCCTTTATCTCTACTATAACTGAAAAGCGAGAAATTGAATTTATGGAATGATAGCTACTAAGTTTTATTTTGTATCTATCTTTTCATCATGTCTTGTTTTGACCTGTACTTAGCCCAGTGTGGCAAAATGTGCAATAAAGGTCGTCATTCATTCATTCATTCATTATCACCTGAAAATTAGCAGTAGAACGGAGATCAAAGCGTTGACAGACAGACAGAACTCTGACATGTCTGCGGAGTGATTTACGATGCACGTTAATGTGGAGGAATGTACCGGGGGCGCCTGGGGATGGCTAGCCGGCGTGAAGACCGTCAAATCCCGGCCGCGCCAGGCCCTAGCCAGGCCCGCCATCCGTCATCTTATCTTGTCCGCCCGCGCAGCACGACCGTCTGCAGGCGCCCAGACGCTCCTGCCGTATTTGTCCACGCAGGGATTTCAGCAGAAATCCATCAAAATGTAATCAGCTATAGCCTGATAATTTCACAAAGAACACGGCATGACTGCGCCTGGCTGCTCTGACCGAGAAATCTGACTGAAAACCATTTCCTTCGGTCAGTGCTCTAGCAGGTGCACGTGGCACTTGTAAACACAGTCGCGCCCATGGAACTGGAATTCGAAAGTCGTCTGTTTCGTCATGCCAAGGATCCACTTCCCGCTCAAATTTTGAAAGTACGAGAGTGATCTAGAGATCTAAGCATTTTAGAGAAAGAAAGAAGCTAAGACAAAGGGGTGAGCGTGTAATTCTACTCTCCCTCGCCTGGGATCGCGTTCCCGCCCTCACCACATGATCGTCTGCAAACGGGATTACTTCTGGAGAGGTTTCTCCGCCAAATGCTCCCAAGAGAATTTTGGCGGGAAATCGCCTCAGCGTTGGACGACACCAAACCTCCTCATCCATCAGCGCTCCTGTCACATCAGGACATTTCTCGCATGTTTGCTTGTTTACGTTCATGTGTTGAAACGCCCCTGATATTGTGTCAAAAATCATGAAGTTTTGGTCAGTGTCAACATATTCAGAGTTGTTTATGTGGGTGGTGACTTTGCTTCTCTTGCGCATGGATCTCAAAAGACACATTCGTGCGTGTAGCAACACTGTAACACCAAGAAACACTCCCGCACTTCGTCTTCCTCTATCACATAAAAACACTTGACAGACGGAACTGTGCAAGTGTTTTGAGTACCAAATACCATTGTCAAATGTTTTTACACCTGAGGATGCTCATGTGGTCAGTGCTTCCACAATACAACGGATTATCTTTTTATCTTGGATGGCATTATGAACTGTAACCATCATGATTCAAGTTGTGAACTATGTTAAGTGAAGATTCTGCGGAATGTTATGATAAATGAATCAGTCATCATAGACTTAAAAGAAATGTTTATTGCTCATCATTTTACAAATGTACAACAGCAGGGGGAGCAGAAGCGAATCCCCCTGAACTAGGTACAATTTGTCACATTATTTGAAAAACAACGTTCACATTTAAAAACAATACATCTAAACTAACATATATACAAAAGACACTTATAAAAATTATTTACAACAGATATGCACAAACACATCATGAGCTAGGGGGGTTTGATTGAACCTCATTGATCATAGCAATGCGGTCTATCATACTTGGTGAGAGGTACCCTGCGTAGAATCACTCCCTACCGATGATCTCGGAAAAAATCCACGAGACTTTTCTCCGTCGTAAATGCTATGTAAAAGGTGCTCCTGTCCTTGTCGTCTGTTAGGACAATGGCACATACCAACTCAGACTCAGAAAATTGTGATTTTGTCCCGATATGAGTTGTGTGATAGGCGCTGAGAATGTGTAGTACCCTCTAAACGACCTAATTGATATCGGTTCTCATTGATTGATGGGTTGTTTGCGATCGACCCGATTTACACTTGGACCGTTGGTGTGATATCCACTCCGCTGTTCCGGCAAAGGCGCGCCCTCCCTCCTCAGTACCCTTGCGATTTTCCAGAGGTAGGCGGGACCCCTTTGACCAATCAACTGTCTGTTTCTCACAACCGTGCTGAGGTCTGTTGGCATTTCTCCCACAGTTTTAGTGACGGTGTGCCCGCCCATGTAGGCGGGTCTTACCGTGACCTTTCGACCAATCAGAGCGCAGCTGGGAGTTGTTTGCGGCAGTTTGAGTGACATGTTTGCATACAGGCCGCTAATTTAGGGGACCCCCGCTCACCTTCGAGTTTAGTGTACGCCTCGTGAGCACTTGAAGAACACTCGCACGAAGCTCCGCACGCGTTCAAGCCAAAGACTGCGTAGAAAGTGAGTGGTGGTGTTCCCTCGACCAGTTTGCGCGACTCCGACTTGGATTTTACACACCGTTGCTACAGGATAACGTTCGTACCGCAGACCGAGATGGCAGCCGACGTGGTGACCTACACGACACTCGAGACCTTCTCGCACGAGGACCTCGTCAAGCCCGATCCCGACGCGTCGCCCTTGGCGGACCACAGCTCCTCAGGGCCCGAGGCCGAGGAGGACCCGTCCCGCTCCAAGAGGTACGAGCGCAAGCGGCGGTACTCCAAATCGAGCGCCTCCTCGGACGATGGGTCGACCGGCGGCGGGTCCGTCGGCGGCAAGAGCCACGGGAAAAATCGCAAGAAGACGTCGAAGGCGGAGAGTTTCGAGGACCTGCAGAACCAGAGGGTGCTTGCCAACGTGCGGGAGCGACAACGAACACAGGTGAATCAGAAAGACGTGAGCTCTCGCTTCCTTAATTTTCTTCTCACCTCTGGTCACTCGAATAACGGCACCCCCGAATTGCGGTCATAACCCTTCAGATTCGATCCACAATACCACAGCCAAACTTTCAAAATCATCCTTTATTTTTATATTCTAAAAGTCTTAAAATTGTAGGATGTTTTTCTATCCCCCAAATCCTTATACATGTCAACAACAAACCAGAAGAAGGGTGCTAATATTCGGGGCGTGCCAGTATTTCGGTTGAGAAGAGGATTCAGCCACGAAGTCATAAAGTTCTAACTTTTTTAAGCTTGCTTCCTATGATACGCTGTGAAAGTTGAAATATATGCATGTACATATCTAAGTCAGAGTGAGCATGCATATGGTGTAACCATTCCCGTCCAGTGTTATGATACCGCGTTACGCGGTATTGCCGTTCATCATTGTCACTTTATGTTAGTTTGAACCTTTTATTTCTCTTCTCATAATTTGTCAACGCACTGACAAGTGTCCCAGTATAATGAACTGTTTACTATGACACGATTGTTCGCTGTTGCTATCATATGGTGTAAGAACTAAGATGTGACAACTGAAAAGTGTAGCCGTTCACTACTAATACATGATGTTTCTCTACCCGACAGTCTTTGAACGAAGCCTTCTCGTCTCTACGAAAGATCATCCCCACCCTGCCTTCCGACAAACTCTCCAAAATACAGACACTGAAGCTGGCGGCTCGGTACATAGACTTCTTGTATCAGGTCAGTGACAATCTCCCACCGACTTATGTTTGCGTAGTTTTGTCAAATTATAGATTATGTCTTATCGATATATCCCTCTGAAAGACAGGATTGACAATGCTTGCTAGTCCTTTGTTTGGGTGTCTGAAGTGAAAAACATTTGCGTGTTGTACTGGTACAAACGGGCAGGACTTTGGCGATGACTGCCCGTTGTTTTGCCAACTTCGTCCGCCTGTGCTTTACGGGAAATCCCTTTAGGGAGTTGGGTCCGAGGATCGGCGTTTCAAATCCAAGTGCCAAACGGCGTGTTACACCAGTTTCTGTGATGTTTGAGATGAAAAAGAACGCTTTGGCGTGGTAGAAGGGAGGTTAGAGCAGCGATAGCCGTTCCAGACGACTGAGAGAAGGGGTAGTTTGAAGTTGTAGCGTTGCCTCAGGGTCTCACCGCACTGTAGCCCGCGCACCAGTCAGCTGGGGCCGGTGTCGGCGTGTTCACAGGCCCGGCTGATCTCACCGCGGGGTTCGGTTGTTCTGCGGCTTACCCCGCGTCATGGAGCGGCCGTGCCGGGTTCCCCACGCAGGCAACAACTCGCCCAGCCCTGCCAATGTCAATGTTCCATCTGTTTTCTCTGCTACTCTTCAAGATTTTCAAGACTCGGTCGATAAGTCCGGTCTCTCACGAAGGTAAACGCGGCGTTGACACTAGGGTCCGTGTGTTGAAACGAACCACGCGCCTCACCGCGAATAACGACATGTGAGAAAGGGAGGGATAACTTCAAGCAGGGGATGTTTGCTCTTCACACCTTTTCTGACAGAAGTTGCTTGCTTTCTGACACGTTTGGTGTCAACGTGTAATGCTGATGATCACACCTCAGAACGGCGGGAATTCTAGATACATTCAGAGAAATAGAGTCCTGAGGAATAATATCCGATCCTGTTCAAATTTTGTTTTTGTTGTCCGATAAGCTGGATCATTAACATCGAGACTGTTTACTTTTCAATTTTCCATTGAAAGACTACTAAGAAGTTAATCCATTTGAAATAATAGCGACCTGTAGGATTCCATGGTGCGTTCAGTATATTTCATGAGATAAGGAGGAGGGTACTAGTATTTCTGAGTGTTTGTCAAATAAAATTATATCTGTCTATACCAGCATGTATATCACAATCGAACGGGATAGCGTTTGACATGTGTGTATTTCAATCCTTCTGTGGTCGTTCCTGTTTCAAAGGAAGTCGTCATGTTTCTATGGCAACTCTGACGGAAAATGTCGTCTGTTTCTGTCACCGGATGAAAATTATGTCGTCTGTTTCTGTCACCGGAGGAAAATGTCGTCTGTTTCTGTCACTGACTGAAATTTTTTTTGTCGTCTGTTTCTGTCACCGGAGGAAAATGTCGTCTGTTTCTGTCACTGACGGAAAATGTCGTCTGCTTCTGTCACTGACGGAAAATGTCGTCTGTTTCTGTCACTGACAAAAATGTCTGTTTCTGGTACTGAAGGAAAATGTCTGTTTCTGCCACTGACTGAAAATGTCGTCTGTTTCTGTCACTGATGGAAAATGTCTGTTCCTGTCACTGACAAAAAATGTCGTCTGTTTCTGTCACAGGTCCTCAGATCGGACGACACCGACACCAAGATGGCGTCTTCCTGTTCGTACGTGGCGCACGAGAGACTGAGCTACGCCTTTTCGGTATGGAGAATGGAGGGTGCATGGAGTATGAACGGACATCATCAGTTGTAGCTGGTGAGGGTCTTACAAAATACCATCTGGGGAAAGGCCAAAAATGATCCTGTGGCCGTCACAGCCCAACTTCCACAAATCTTCCAATTTCAAACTCATCCTGATGTTTGGACATTTTTTTCCTTTTACTTCAGTGAGAAAAAAACAAAATTACGGTCCTTTTTGGCATGGTTCCCCTTTCATCTACCACCACTAACACATACTCATCCCTAACCCATATATCTACCAGTCTACTAAAATCACTACACCTAACAACAGTGCCATGTTATAGCAACAGTTTCAAGGTCCCACCCGTTTGTTTTTGTTTTGCTGGCCCTGGAAACTGTTATTTTCTATTTTTTTTTCGTTTTCCATTGTGTGACTGATGGACGTTTATTCGTGTGTGAATGGTATTTCTGAAGATCTGAATGTGCATACGAACGAATAAGTTGTTAGTGTTACGTTGAGAGTTGACTGTGTTCATGTTTATGTTGAAATTCTAGTTGTGCTAGGCGTTGTGTCCTTGCTAAAGTTTCCAAAGTTCAGAGAGCTTAAATTTAGAACCGCACTCAAAACGGCAAACACGTACTTGTAATACAAAGCCTGTGGCAATATTTTTCCACACTATACCCATAAAGTAAAATTAATAGCACCTCTGGCTACTGTCAAATTATTGCATCTGAATGCCAGGTGGCAGCTAGTTAAAAAAGACTGCATTGCGCAATTCTTAACATCCTACATCAAACTGTTTCTTGTTTGGATCTCATGGCCAGTTGTCCAGTGGCTCATTTTTAGTCTATTAACCAAATTTCGCAAATTTGGCACTGGTGATTTTCAAGGAAAGCCCGGGTAAATAGGTGGCCACAGGCACGCGAGCTCTGCGAAACAAGACAATTACATCAAAGAGTGCCGCCGGCTAACCTTCAGCCCTTCCCCTGATGAAACACTTTCACTGCTGAACTGTAGGCACCCCTTTTACTTTCTAGTGCTGCCCCCTCGCGGCGGGACACCTGACGTTGGCAGTGATGTGACCTTCACGGTCCAGAGAATGTCGGTGTAGCTTGCGTGAAGTGTAATATCCTTCCGCCCTTTCAAAGTTAGGGTTTCACGTTCAAACTAACCTGCATCTGTTTTGGTCTTCGGACTATTATAACGTTACAAACAGACGATCGTGGCCGCTGGCAGGAATGATACGAACAGACTAGAATGAAATACGTTTAGATTAATGCTGTATTTGTGTAATTCGTTGTGGTTATTCCTCCTAAAGCCAGTATAACTTTCGGGCGTGTAGCCAGATAGCATCCTCGTACTTCGTGGCAATCAAGAAGCAACAAGTTCGTTTGTGGTGGTGGCTGGTCTCTAGAGAGTTATCGTTAAGTCGGGACTTCCTGCAAACTTTGGTCACACAATCCCCTCGTCATTTCGCTTACTCTCGTTTCACGTTTGAATTATATGATGTCGGCAGCAGGCCAAGCCAAACACGGTTAAAAAACAACCCCGTGTTTCTGGAGCGTTTGCAGGACACTGCTGTCGGGGGCCCGCGGTCTTTCTACATCGTGACTCCGCGCGCTTGGTGGCCGGTACGTTCGGCCAACAGACTTGCAGGGCTAGGAAACTTTCTATCCAGCTCTTGGCGTTTCATCTCCGTTGGAAAGATCGCCGATGAGGCACGTAGCCAGGCTGCCTGCCCTCCCACAGGTCTCCTAGTCATTTGTCCGCCTGTAGGCAGGACTAGTCGGCAGGCGTTAGCCGGTAATCCACGGGGAACGGCTCAGACTTACCCGCTTTGATCACTCATTCTGGGAAATGCCTCAGCATTTTGAAATCTTCGACCATTTGAGGGAGGGGTACGCGCATCTCAAATCGTTCAGTATCACCTCAATTATTGCAGTTAGAGTAAGAATTAGCTCTACACATCGGTTATGTTTTGTGTCCTGTGATCTGTGATATCTAACGCAAGTGAAAGTGTTGCTCGGACGGAAATCGCTCAGACACAGGACAAGATCGACCCAAAAGCCTGTCTCGGAAGAGATGGGACTTCCCCCTCTCAAACCGGTGGGTTTTTTCGCTGCTCGCTTCCGCACGAGCCAACTCCGCATGATCCTCCTTATCAAGACCGTGTGAAACTTCTTCCGAGTGTCAGAATTGCCCCTCATAAATATGTTCTAGTGAGAACTGCCCCTGCACCGCTCCCGGTCACAAAAACGTCTGTTCCGGACTGCGGACAACTTCAAAAGTTGGGAATATTCCAGCTATTGTTTTTGTACAGACAAATTAGGGGTACAATTGTATTCCCCCGTCTGCTAGAGACAAGAGGTTTTTGCTTGTAACCATGTCTGTTGTTACGCCAGAGGCGCCGATTTCGAGTCTTTCATGGTGGGACCTTTGTGACCGTAGAAAATGTAAACTATGTACCACAAAACTTCTCTCATGTTAGAGATAATGTCCTTGATCTAATTTTTAGCGACTGTTGTGAGAAAAAAATCCCCGGACAATCTTTTTTTTTTCGTGGCTCTGTCACAGTCGTCGATTGTATCATATGTCCAAGATTTAGATGTGTCCGGCGTTCCACAATTAGGTTTTTACAACATTTGAGGTACTAGTTACATGCCAACGTGTTGAAATATATCTAGCCCTTGTTTCTCTATCACGAACAAGTTCGTGTTGTGTTTTGTGGACGCGTGTGGCTGCCCAACAGTTGTAATTTTCGACATCCAAGCCGAGAGTTTTCTTACATCCAATTTTTCGCGCCAGTTGCCCGGGAGTACAGTTTCTGTGGTACTAGCCCGTGCATGATGTCATCACCACTCAATATTCCCCCTGGGGTACCTTATTCCCCGCTGGTCTCCCCGAGGGGCTTTACCCCAATCCCTGCTGGGGCTTTCCCCAAGCCCAAACAGTCGGCGCCTCAAAGGGACGCGATGAAAAGTCACATTTACCGTAAGGTTAGACCCACCTTGCAAAATTACGTCGTAAATTTTCCAAATGGGATAACCTTATAGACTTCCAACAAGAAAAGAATCTAAAATTCTCGTCAGAAACGGAGGAGAGAAACAGATATGTGAGCTTCGAAAAAAATCGCTTTCTGTCCGAAGCCCTACGCAGAATTGCATGTCAGAAGATATCACTCCTTGGACAAGATCAAAGAACACAATTACTACCGGTCGCGCCCTTTCAGCCTCGCGCCATTTTCTCCTCATTTCCGACCACTGTTCTTACTCCTTACCGACCGACTCGTCCCGGTGCCTCATATTGCTGGAGGCTAGACGCGTTGATTTTCCTTAATTCGAGTTTAAATAGCTCCGCCCGGCGGGGGGAGGCAGTAAAAACTCCACTTCAAACGGCAACGCGACCGTCCGCCCTAGTCCCCCCTCCCCTCCCCGACCGGAACCGCAGCGGGGGCCACGACTTCCAGACGCGCGGACCAAAAATCTTATATCTCATTTTATCTAAGCACAACAATTATTGCACAGCAGTCGGGCATTCTTATAAAAGGTCGCCTTTAAAAGTCAACCGACAATTACATTACAAGATAAACATGTTCGTCTCAAATGTCAATAAGAACAAAACCTAAGCAATGCGAGCCCCACACCTTCCAAAAAGTCGGTCTAGGGCTCTATCTAGGCATCGAGTTTGTGGTCCTTGTCTTTCCCAACTGCTGAGAGTTTAATCTAGTGGATGCTCCCCTGGAAAAGTAAAGGCCACTAGTCCCGAAATCCAATTAGGCGCACACATTGGGAGGGCTGGACTCGCGTACTCAGAACAGGGAGGGGACCTGGTTTTTGGCACTGCAGAAAAGTAAAAAAATACATGTAAGGCAGCATCTTTATTTTTCGAACCAAAAAACAAAATCTTTATTTTTCGAACCGAAAAACAAACACGATCATACATATATAACGGTCTTGTTGACCCTGGTAGAAACAAGTCGAGAAATTTGTTGTACATGTATGTCCGTATTCGTTGATGTAAAGTGGGAAGAATGAATCATTCTATCCATGATAAATGTATTTTGGTCTACACGTAGTTTGTTTTTGAAGGAAATCCGTTAGAAGTAGGCCAGTGAGGACAGGAAGGGCGTGCTTTTAGCAGGATTATACTGTTGTGCGTAACTCCCAAATCTCGCGAGGGATGTCTTACCGGCACCTAATTGTAAAATACTTCCGACATCCCGGTATTGGGAGATCTATAGCGATAGCAATAGCACACTGACGTTCCAATAATGGCGCGAAACGTTCGTGAGATTTTACAGTACTTGTGCGATGATGACCCATTATGTGTGTTTGTGTGTGTGCCAGAAACCGGCTTGGAGTCTAGAACGCAACAACTGAATTGCCACTCAGTGTACTAGTAACCTCTCGAAGCCTTTGACTAACTGGAGTTGTTTCTTTGTGTTGTTTTGAAGCACAATTAGCAGTCTGATGCTCGGATTAGGGGAGTTAGTGGTCTAATTTGTAATCTAACCAGCGTCCGCCATTTTGTTTTACAGGTCTCCAGGCAAGAGCTGTACTTTGGGCTAGGAGCGCCACCTAGCGGACCCAACCACTTCTGAGAACTGCAGGGGTTCCGGCTAACAGACTCCGCCAGCCCGTCATTGTGCCAAAGGATTTCCAGAGCGCTATAATGGAGACAGCAAAAGACAGAGAGACCCGAAAATCCGTCCACGATTTTCCCGCCGAAATGCTGAGTCGTCGTCTTGCCACCCAAAGCCCTGTTGTGCTGCGCCGAATTGTGACACTATGTCGTGAAGTCTGCTGGCCAACAAGGGACTTTGACGACAAACACGAACATTTTTCAGAGCAGACAATGGTGGATTTTGTCGTCCCAAACGAACGAGACGGAAGACATGTTGGCAAATATCGAAGTGTTGTTTTAGGCAGAAAGGACGGCCCGGGCACACAAGGGGGTGGGCTGAGCCGAGGTATTAGCACACAGAGAAATGTTTTATATCACGCAAGGACAATGTTTTACCACACGGACAGTTTTGTTTTGCGACGCCCTGTCCTTTTTCTCGCCTTGGTACGGAATCCGATCCCTTCCCACTAAGAAAACTTTCCCACGCAAACAACCCAACGTCAAATACTTCACAGAATTTGCAAACTTGTCCCGAAATTTGCACTCTCAACCCTCTCTATACACCCTACTGAAGTCATATTTATAAAGCGAGTTAACTGTTTATTCGTCGCGATCAGTGGTTTGGTTTTTCTCACAGTTTTACATGCGCTTGTCATTTTTCATACATGTTTAGACCGAAGTCTCGTTAAACTTGGAAATGACAATATTGTAAGAAAAAACGACACAGAGAACCTGAAGGGCAACCAACACCGATCTGTTGTGAGACAGTGCGGTTCGTGTGGGCTCACCGGTTGTGGACACGGCCCCAGACCACTGTCTCCTACCAGCTTTCTCAGTTATTCTTTCTCGTTTATCTGTGAAAGAAAACAGAACCCTGCTAATAGAAAGTGTGAAAGTTTGGGGGAGGGATTTATTCTCCTTTTGACCTCTCACCTTCCCAAGCTACCGAAAGATAACGTGTTCTCGAGTCTTCCTATTCACACAGATTTTTAAGTTCATTTTTATAGGAAATTTAAATTTCCTTCTTTCTACGACTCCAAAGAAAATCAACCACTGACCACGGTGTCGAACTAGAACTGAGGTAAACATGTAGTTTCTGCCACACAAAAAAAGTATTTAACGAATCTTTAAGAAATGAAATGTTTCAATATCGGTCCTTTCTGTCTGGGCAACTTGATGACAATCCCAATTACCAAAGAGGCCAAAGTGGCCGTTGTTCTGTCGAGTTTTGTACATTGTATTCCTATGATAGAGTTATCTTTGTATTGTTGTCTGGAGATTATTGTGTATTTTATATTTTTGGTCGTTGAATATATATTTCGAATTTTATCTAAATCGCTTCTTGTCCCGCCTATTCTTACATGCGTTGTATGTTGTGGTTGAATGTATCCGAGAGAAGTGTGTGAATGAGAAAGAGCGCTCAATTATCAATATATAGTCAATAACAACGTTTTGCATTGGGAAAAAATTAAGTAATTGTTCCAAACCATCTTGAAATGACAACAGCTTTCTAATGCTTTCTGGCTATCTAAAAATGTGCTATCTTTACTTTTTACTATTTATTGTGTGCTTTCAATAGGCGCATGTATTGGAAATTTGCCATAATGTGCAAGATGGAAGTTTGTCACGTCTATTGTTTAAAGGACTGACGAAGGCAAAGGAAGCGGGGGTGCTGTAGGTAACAAAACATCAGAGGTATGACTGAGTCAGTGTAAGTGCAAAGTTTAAAAGTGTATATATTAGTAACTAGCAGTCTCCACCAGACTCCTTTGTGGGGTCGTGTGGCGTAGCGGCAGAGTGCTCGACTCAGAACCAAGAGGTCGGGTTCGTGTCCCGACATGCCACCGATCTTGTGCACGTGCCCTAGGGAAAGGCACTTTACACGACTTTCCTCGCGTGAAATTGAGTATATATTATCCTGTCCTGTATTTGTACTCTGTGTTGGTGGCGGCATGAAATAAGTTGATAATAACTTGAGTGTGCCGTCGCCACGTTTGGTCATGAAATGTTGGAACAAAAAGACTCCTTTGCAGCTAAATCGACCATGTTTCAACCGAGAACACCCCCCCCCTCATTCAACTGTAAGAAAATAACGTCATTTGGTTTGATGTTTTCTGGTGAGAAATTGCACTAGACTAATCTTCAGTCGGTTTCAAGCCCCGGGGTTTCTTTGGTTCGCTCTTCTGAGGCGAACCAGCAAAATTCTTGGAATGTCGAAGAGGCGAGTGTGTCGTCTTAATCAAGTTAATGGCTCCGAAGCACGATTCACTTTTGGCTTCGATTTCTGATTTTTTTTAAACACATAACTTTTACAGGCGGTGGTCCTTTGTTTGACTTTCAACTTTAATTTGTTTAACAAATTCACTGATCAATTGAGGTCCTACAAGTATAAAAGCGACCCTTGCTGTTATATGTATCCAGAACAGAATGAATGCCCACATATAGGTACTAGTAGTACTCTCCAAGCAGAGGTTTCGCTGGGCTTTTGGCATGTTTAAGGCTTTTTTTAATCGGCTTTCTCTTCAGTTTTTATCCACGTCAACCGTTTTTAACGTTTTTTTAACATAAAAAAACAGTGCAAAAATGAAAGTCCGGTAAAAAAGCCTTAAACTCGCCAAAAATGAACCAACACCCAAACCTCTGCTTGGAGAGTAACATGTAGGTACAGTGGAGAAGTATGTGCCGTGTTTTCTGTCAGCACGACCGGTTGGAAATCAAACCGACAAGACTTCATTTAGTAATTTGTCAGGACGGTAACCTTTGCCGGGCCGACAGCGTGCGTGGATGGAGTTGAAACTCTTCAGGATTCCTGACACTTGCTGAGCGGAATGCCGCGAACACGCGCGCGGACTCCCTCGGGACCCCGCCCGGTCAAAGTCAGGTTATTAAACGCCTCCTACGCTTCTTACTGAGGCGTTTCAGGTGGTTTGAGAACTACTTACCCATCCGTTCAGTCATTCTCTCGTCTGTAATTTCATCAATCCACAGCTCATCACCAACCAATCAGCAGCCGCCATCCCGACAAGCCTTGCGCGTGGACACGTTACCATGGTAACGGCACGACACTCCCATCTCTATCAACAAAGAAACCGTCTCGGCTGAAGAGAATGGTTATTGTTGCGATTTCATAGTTGTCAGTCGCAAGAAAATCGCTTGTTTCTTTATTTACAGTCGCCCTGCAAAAACATTCCATTTTGGTGTTTGGTTACAAAATCTGGACAACTTTCACATTCTTGAAATACAATCAACGTCTCATCTTTTTTTTTCGTTCTTAATTATTGTGTACTCAATGCTAAGAGGGTCTGATACTTTTCAGACATTTTGTTAGTTATGTAACAAATCAAAGATAAGATGCGGACCTGTTTTGTTGTTTCGTACCGGGCAGGGTAAGTGTAGCTGTCGGCACCACACCACGCTTCACCCCGGCTGAAATCTCCCAGCTGTCCCCGGTACCTCACCTTCTCGTACCCGCTCGCCCGTGACTGTATAAATACAGGCAGAAATCTCTCAATTACCATCGGGAAAATTTCATCATCGGTCTGGGCGGGTCGCGAATGTTAATAGAGGGCCTGCAAAGGGGGGTAGTGATTACAAATTACGCAAAATTTTCGCCGCCTATTACGAATTAAGTCTCTGAACTGATTACGACTTTACGATTTGCGGCTAATGTCCGATTACGAATTACGTTGATTTTTGCGGAGGCTGCCTACGAATTACGAAGTCTAAAACGGCCTGATTACGCCTTACGAAAAAGGGCTTGCAGGCCCTCTTAATAGTGTTTTTGTAAACTTCTTGGAGTTAATGTCGTCGTGATGTAGCCTCTACCAGGCTTCGGGAAGCGGGGAAACGACGTAGAAATTGTCCAAATAGACAGATAACATGCCAGGGGAGCTGTAAGAGAACAGTTACACAGTTTGCAGCTAACTAACTGTTCTCTTAGCGCAAACCAACTTCCCTGGCATATCACGTCTACTTGGCCAATTTCTACTCTTTTCAGCCGCTTCCCGAATCCTGGTATAGGCTAGTCGTGTGTGATCATCTGACTGAACGTGTTAAGTCCACTTTGAGACATTATAGACGAATAACATCGATGTTTCCCCACTTTACACACCTAAGTAATACAGAAAAATTCACATTTTTAATGAACTTAGACAAACCCTCGATCCTTAAACTTGTATGTTCTTATCTTATCAACATCACAGAGAAGCGAAAAGAAGTCGAAATTATGTAACAAACTGTAGTGCTAGTACTAGATTGATCTTGTTGTGTATATATTTGTGTATTCAAGTTAACCTTTGTACCTAACCCAGTGGGTATGTTTGTACAATAAAGGTCTTCATTCATTCATAATGCAAAATCAAGTGGATATGCCGTTGATATGAATCATGATAGCTAAGATTGTGCTCCCAATAATCAAGTAACAGATCGACTCGAAAGACTTTATCATAATTTCTACCAATGCAACAACGACGTACGCCTGTAGCTGTTTTATTCATAAATTTTGTAATTAATGTGATTAATTAAGAAGTTCTTATCGTTGTCCATCAGCATTTTGTCAGTGCGTTGAGCCAAAATACACTGACAGGAAGAAATTTGATCTCCAGACTAAAACTGCAGGGGTGTTGGCCGTTTTTTCCTCGAGCACGTTTCCCTGTGGAGATATATCCACAAGGTGTTTGTATAGCTTTTCCAGACAGCGACAACCATGTATTATTTTCCTTACGCTTGTGCTAAACTTGACTTGAGGTAGAAACAGATCGCTAGGATAGCAGCCATTTTGTTAGCCTGGTATCTAGGCTATCGTGGTCTGTCTTCGGGGCTCTCTATATATTTCTGTTTCCCCGTCCAGCTCAACTCCGTAGGAGTTTTGCATAGTTTCCACCAGACTCCTTGGCTTTTCAGGCTGAAAAATAGTAGAAATCGGCTAAGGGGAACATGCAGGCAAGCTGGACCCTCTATGGCCGGCCAACTCTGGCCAATGATGTTCCCCCTAGCCGATTTATACTATTTTATTCAGCCTGCAAAGGTGTCTGGTGGAGACTAAGTTTTGCACGCGAAACTCCCATCGTGCAAAACCTACCGGGGAACCTGGCTGAGTCGGGCGGGGGAGAGCTCCTGCAGCCCCGAAGACAACTCGCCCCAACCACGATAGAAGACTGGACACCAGGCTACCATTCTGTGTGAAGCTGTAGATCTCGTGTTGACAGGCCGCGGTCGCCGTTTAGCTGATGCTGACAACAACGCGGTGACGTAGACCAGTCCTGTTGTCGTCTGAACCAGCTGGGTAACAGTACGGGTCAGTATAAAGGGATGAGTCAGTTACTTCTGGGCGTGATGGGCAAATAAAGGTTCCAAAAACCCGAGACTCAATATACTGTACTCTCCAAGCAAAGGTTTCGGTTTGGGCTTATTTTCGAAATAAAAAATAAAAATGAAAATACGCCAAAAATAAGCCCAAACCGAAAACTCTACTTGAAGAGTAAATACACTTATCCATTGACAAAAGTTGTGTTGTAATAGTGGGGGTTTATAGGCGCTACCAAGTGACCCGGAGGGGTCTAGACCTTTTAGCCGAGTGGTTAGAGCGTCAGGTTTTGAAGCTGGTGCTTGGGAGGTCGTGGGGTTCAACCCCGTTTAGTAATACAGTTACAGTGTAAAGAACGAATATCTTTGTAAAATTTATTTTCACAACTCTTCTGTACTATTTGCCCTGTATGTCCACCAATCAATTCCAAAAACAACAAGCCAACTAAACGACTGACCTCCTTTCGATAAGCTTTACTTCGCTGATGCCGAGCTGCAACCAACATACTAACGAACGGTATGCCGTATGGAAACAAACTCACCAAACATAACCGCGGTCTTCCCTGGTCAGTTCAGGGCAATTAACGGTTCTCCCCTTATCGCACACCCATCAGCAGACCCTTGTGCCCCGGGGCGGTTCTTTAATCATGACCTGCCACATCAAACCGGAGTGTCAGGCGGGACACTGCCCAGCTGTGCTCCCCGGGGTCCCGGGGGAAGTGTCCCCCACGGGTGACCGTGTACGGAGATCCCCGGGGGCAAGCGCCCATCAGTCTCGGGCGGGGGATCGCTTTGTAGCCGCCGCCCGCTAGTACAGCGCGCCCGGCTGAAACGACGATCCTCCGACAGGTTGTCGGAAACGCCGATATATCAGGCGTTGTGATGATAAGGTAGCGGGGATGGGTGAACAAAGTTACGGTACGCATGGTACGTGTGGAGCGGTGCGTTTGGGAGGACTGTCAGGATTACTTGAAAAGAATAGAATAAAGAATAAATTACTACTACTACTACTACTACTACTACCTGCGACA